CCCCCGCTGGATTTTGTAACCCCCCAGCCGCTTTCTTCTGCAACCTGCTCTCGATGTTACTTGTCGTACTCCTCGCCCAGTCTTGGGGTTTGTTGTTCGGAGGGACGTTTATGGACCCGAAGAGCGCACAAACCATAACCACCGTGGTACGGCAAGGGGGGGAAAGGGAGGGGAGAAGGGGGGGAGTGGGGAGAAAGGGGGTAAGGGAGAAGGCGGGGGAAGGGGAGAGGCGTAAAGAGATCACGGCGAGCTTGGTACGGCAGGGTACGATAGATTATGTGGCAGTACCTTCTGGCTTTGTCACTATCTCAGCATATTGACGTACATACGTACACAGGCACACGTGCGTGGCCGCCGTACGGCGTATCCTCCTCGCTCCGCAACCCCAAAAAACACGCACTTGCAATACACGCACGAGCACGTCGCTCCTTTCCTCATCCACTCCCCCCTCCCGCCTTCCCGCCCGACAGGTGATGTTGACGTTCCTGCTGGTTGGCGGTTTCTACGTGAAGAAGGTCCCCGTCTGGATAGGCTGGATTAAGTACCTCTCCTTTCTCTACTGGGTGAGAAAGCTGCAGTAGCAGTTGCGATAGCAGTTGCGATAGCAGTTGCGATAGCAGTTGCGATAGCAGTTGCGATAGCAGTTGCGATAGCAGTTGCGATAGCAGTTGCGATAGCAGTTGCGATAGCAGTTGCGATAGCAGTAGCAGAAGCGGGGGCAGGAGAAAAAAGGGAGGCAGGGGGAGGGAGGAAAAGGGGAGAACCGGGGGCGACGAGGAGGAAGCAAATACACATTGCTTGAAGCCGAAACCCAAACACAGGGGTAAGCAGTGGTTCGTGTTTATCACCCTTGCATCTTGGCCGTACGGCAAGACGTGAGGGTGCATGATGGCCGCGTAACTGGGTATTTCCTACCTTTTCCTCCTCCGTCACCCGGGGGGTGGGGGGGAGGGTCCCCCCAAAGGGCGGGAAAGAGAGGGGGCTTCCAGTAGCTGCATTCCCTGAGTCCGCCCCTCCTAACGCGACTCGGTCCGCGACTCGGTCCGTCCCGAACCTGCATCCTGATATCCTCTTTCTTCCCCCGACACCGCATGCATGTCCAGGGGCTTTACGACAATCCATGTCGTACATTCGTACTATTACTTGACCACGTAATTACACGACGTATATGTGCCGCTAATAGTTGCCGCCTGGAAGGGCCCCCTCCCACCTCGCCCTCCTCCCACCCCCCCACCTTCCCCCCCAGGGTTTCAACTTGCTGCTCAAGATCCAATTTCGCCACGTGGACTACTTCGATGGCGGAGTACGGGTGGGCGATGTCAAGGTACGGTAGATCCCGGCCCTTTTCCTTGTTGTAGAACCGTATACCCTTTCCCCCCCCCCTCACACACACACACACACGCCCGGCGGTGCGCTCCCACGTAAGTCTCATAGCGGCAATCTTGTCGTACAGTACTGCTCCCGACGTACCTCCGTTGCTGTACGGCAACCTCTTAACACACAGCCTGCGACACACAGCCTCAGCCCCTCCCAGCACACTTACATACACACACACGCACTTGTGGCGCAGTTTACGAAAAATAAAGACACTTGCACACGCCCTTTCCCCCCCCCCCAATACACGCACACGTACGGCAGTCAGCTCTGGGCCTTCCCGCGGACCCCAACTCCAATGTACTGCCTGATGTGCTCGTACTTCTGGCCATGTTGGTGGCTTTGAGGGCCCTATCGTACATAGTCCTCAGAATCAAGACGGAAGTACGGCAGCCCAAGATGGAAACCAAGGCGGCATGACGTCATGTCGTACTTAGTGGACGACGTCATGTAATATGACGTGGCCTATGGGGATGTCATGTGACGACGTACGGCGCGGTACGGCGGGGCATGGGGGAGTACGGCGGGTTTAAGGCGAGCGAGGGTGAAGCCGGGAAGGAGTAGTAGTCAGGTAGTTAGTAGTTTGTAAGCAGCAAGTTAGGTGTTTTGGTTGGTTGGTTGGTAGTTGAATTGTCTTACCTGCGTTCACGGGGCGGTAGTTGGCCTTCCCTGGATATTTACATTGGCCCCCGTTGTGGTGGTGGTAGTTGTGGCGGTGGTAGTGGCTGAAGAACGTCTCTAATGGAAATGGTAACAGCCGTAGCAGCAGCAGCAGTAGTGGTGGCGTGTCGCAGCAGCAGTAGCAGGATATGCGAATGTAGGGGTGGATGCTGGACTACACACAGATCTGTAGGGAGGGGCGGAGGAGGGGCGGAGGAGGGGCGGAGGAGGGGCGGAGGAGGGGCGGAGGAGGGGCGGAGGAGGGGCGGAGGAGGGGCGGAGGAGGGGCGGAGGAGGGGCGGAGGAGGCACGTAGCTATATACCGTTGAGCTGCCGCAATTCATTTATACGTGCGTATGTACGTATGTACGTATGTATCAAGGTTTCCGATGTTTTGACATCGACATGGTCTGGCGGCGCAAGCGCGCAGCTGGGTGGTGTCGACATATGGGTGGGGCTCCCCTCCGCAATCGGCGTCATGGCAGGTCCGTTCAGGTGCACAGTCACCATCATCATCGTCACCGTCATCATCACCGTCATCATCACCGTCATCATCACCCAGATCATCTTCCAAGGTTTTTGTCTGCCTGAGAACTGCCCAACTGGGAACTGCCTTCTGCGGACACCACACAGACTGGTGTCCACCTCCGTACTGCTTCCTTGCTGCCTTGCCTCCGTACTGGCTGCCCTCGCCTCCGTACTGGCTGCTTTCGTGGGGCCCGGATGCGCGGCTCGACATGACATTTGCAGAAGCAAGCAGCTGCCAGAGAGCAGTAGCTAGGCGCCAGAGGACGGTCACGAACACAGTAGACCGCGGCGCTCTCTCGTCGGTTTCGGAACTAGTACTTGTGGTTGCTTCGGGGTATTGCTTCGTCGGGGTGTGTCCTTGTCCTTGTCCGTGGGGCACACGCTGGTGGCCCCCACACCCCTACGGCGCCCCCCCCTCCGGCTTGCGCTCTGCTCTCTGCGCCTCTCTCGAATCATCCGCGATGCGAAAAGGCGGTCACGTCAGTGCATCACGCCGGTCCGCGGTGCGAAAAGTTTCAAAAAGATGTGATCAGGAGTTGCCGCGCAGAAGAGCGAATGTGATGCAGCGGGAAGTCAGCGGGTCGCTTCGTGTGGTGCAGCAGGTTGGAAACATCCTTTTCAAATCAGGGGGTCGTTAGGCGGTTCTGATAGACATGAGAAGGGGGGAAGGGTTTACGCGGCCGAGAGCCCCATCGCGTGAGGAGGGTTGAGACAGCTGAAGCAGGATGAGACTATAGGGAGAGCGCGCGGACGCCGACGGGATCAATGTGTTCAAACATCCGAATCTGGAGTTTTGTGTCGCGATGACGCGCGCAGATCACAACGTCAACCAAATGGAATACTCTATTTCCTGACAGATTTTTTGATACCAAAGCTGCTGTGTGTTGTCGCACATTTCTTGGTTGCAAAACTTAAGGAAGTTTTGACCTGCTGGCACTTTCTTCGTGTTGTATTAATGTAGGTAGTAGGGGGATTAGAAGCGCAAATCCCCTGGCTGATGGTATGGTAACCAGATAATCAAAATTTGCGAGATAAGAATCGAGGCGTGGCCAGAGATTTACTACTACGTTGGGGGTTTTGAGGCCCGACCCTGTTGCGGGATAAAGCAGCGGGTGACAGCGGATGTTTCTGCACGGCGGGAATATGCATTTCCTAAAAAAATGAGTGCATTTTTTTCTGCAGTTCTTGGTCCTGTATAGGCAACGTTGTGCCTCGGGGGACCTCGGCAACTTGGCCCCATGTATACATAGAATCATTCATTACATGTTGGACGAGCATAGACGTGACCGATGAATTTACCGGACTGTCCTGTCGGAATACTCCAACTTGGCCGAGGACGCAATGACCTAGGACCTTAAGTGGTTGGCGGTAGTCGCTTCTTAGGAAGGAAAGAGGAAAGGACAGCACAATGTACGTTTGCTACAAGTTTCTGGTCTTGGGATTTAGTCGTCATGGTCTTCATCAAACAGGGTTTTCACCCAGCTGCAAACAAAGAAGACCAGGTGTATGGAGCGCCCCCAGAAATCCATCCGCTAGTGGGTGACGGTTGGTGGACAACTGTCCCATCCGGAAAAAAATGACCCCTAAGCGCCATCGACATGACATTTGGACTGGACTAAAATAATTATCGGTCCAACGAATAGTTTATTATAAATGCAGGCATCACCCCTCATTTCGCTTATGCAGCTGCCATCAATTGTATACTGTCCTATTCATATGACCCCTTAAAACCCTACTGTGATTTCGACTTTGGAAACTTGTGCGAGCGCGTCTCCGCAGGGCGTCAGTTTCACGCCCCATAGCTTCCAAAACCTCTGGTCTCGGCTTTGGGAATCCGCTGTTCGATAGCTACAACCATGAAGCTCTTTCCCAAGCGAGGCGGCAGCAGTAGCAACAGTAGCGGCGGCAGCAGCAGTAGCAGCTCCAGCAGCAGCAGCAACACCCACATCCGCACCAACAACAGGAACACTAGCAGCAGCAGCAGCAGAAGCAGCAGCAGTAGTGACACTGGCACCCAAGCTAACACCAACAACACCAACACCAACACCGACACCAACAGCAACAGCAACAAGAGGAGCGCCAACAGTCTCAACAGCAACACCGACAGCAGCATTGAGGAAAGCTGTTGGATCTGCCTGGAAGGCACTGAGAAGGGCCCCCTGGAGCGGCCCTGCCCCTGCCCCCGCCTCGTACACCGTGACTGCCTGGGCCGTTGGCGGCTGCAGAGCGCCGGAAGAAGGCAAGTACTCCACTCCCCCCCCTCCGAGGACTTCCGGGGCCCCTACCACCGCCATCCCGAGTGCTTGGTCCCTAGATTAATCAGCAACACAACAATAGATCTATACCTCCCAAATCTACCTCCAACAAATCTACGCAGCCTGGATTCCTCTTCGCGTCCTTTCTTCTTTCCTATCTTATATCCGGACATCGACATCGCGCAACATGTCCCTTTGCCCCCGGTACCCCGCCACCGTCGTGCTGATACCCCCACATCCTACTTCTGCTATTTGAAACTCTTTCCGATCTCCTCCAGTACGGGGTGACCCCCCTATACACACACACACACACCTCCCACATATCGCATCTCATGTCACGTTATGCGTCCGTTAAGAGGTCACTCGCTCCCGGGGCCATCAGGCGCCCATCACCCGCGCGGACACTGCCCTCCACAACCCGACTCCTCCTTACCTTGCCGCCCTTTATCCCGTTTCTCCTGATCCCCCCCCGAGTAGCGAGGAGAACCTGTGCCGCTTCTGCGGATACAGCCTCCCGGGCCTGGAGGAGTCCCTCACGCCCGCCCACCTGCGGGCGACCCGAGTGGTAACCTACATGGCCATCATACACAAGAACCAGGCACGTGACCTGAAACCCAATAAGGGTGTGGGTGTGTGTACATATATATGTGTGTGTATGTGTGTGTCTGTGTGTGAACATTGTATTTTTTTTGTGAGATAGGATCCGAAGCCACCGTGTGCATGACTCCGAAACACGCACATCTCACACAGCGCACCTGGACAGCCGGGCGGCAGCTCCCGATGATTAAGCTGGGGACGGGAGGAACGGGGGGGGTTGTGGGGAGAAAGGAGGGGGGAAAATGGATTGCTTGGGCCTGGTCCGCTCTCTCTTTCTCACACGCACATACACACACACACGCTTTCTCGCTGTCTTACAACATTCTTTCTTAACCTGTTTTATAACACCACCACCGTGTTTTATAACACACACCACCACCCCCATGCGCAGGTCTACCAAGTACCTGTGCGGCCGGGGGCGGAGGGGATGGCGGAGTTTCGCGCCCGCGTCCGGTGTCTGTTCGGGATCCCGCCGGATAAGCAATTCAACGTAAGCCGCCACAGAATATAACTATCCCTTGCCAAATCACTTACCTTACCCATACCCTTTCTCGTACACATGCGTCTCATGTGGCACCTGGCGTATATGTAAGCATGCTAGAGTGACCTTAGCTGCACACCCTCCACCGCCAGAAAAGAGCGCGGTTTCGGAGCCACTGCACCCAGCACACGACAACGACCGACTGTTAGCACCCTGTACGACAGGCAGCCCACTCAGCTCGTCCCACTCCCGTCGACCCATAGAGTGGCATTTTTCCCTTCTCAACTGAAGAATCCTTCAGCTATCCCCTTCTTGATCATCTTACCCCTCACTCTTTCTTTCATCATATCACCGTTCAACTTTTCTTTCCAGATGCCTTACGCTGTCTCTCATCTCCCACCCACGTCAGCCACTTACGTCATCCACTCACGCCTTTCCTTTCTTACATCCTCCCCCTTTCTCTCACCGCAAACACGCACACATCCACTTACACGCACGTACACACGTACACACGTACATGCACGCGCGAACACAGGTCTCGTTTGAGTGCATGGCTCCGAGCACGGGTGAGGTGCTGGTCATGAACGGCATGGCCTGCTTCGACGCTGCTGTCACGTGCGCCGCCATCAGCGCCAAAAAGCGCGCGGTGGGCGAGGGCTGCGGCTCCAACGGCTCCAAGAGGCCCTCCAAGTGAAGTGGAATCGCCTGGGAGGATTGCCCCCCCCCCACCCCCGGGGGCAGTCGGACCCGGCCAGTTTCAGCCAGACTGGCCCGAGATAATCTACACCCGTGCCGGCTACCTGCCAGCCCCCTGCGTGCTGAAGCCGATTGACGGGCAGTTACGAGGCGAGGGGTGTGAGTGGCGAGAGGATGGCCTGCCCTGAACCCCCTTGTCAGCCATCAGGCAATGATGTTGGGTCAGGACAAATTGGCAAATTGCGGTCCTAATCAGGCAGGCTTATAACAAGCATATGCATAAATAAATCCATGCATACATTCTGGGAAGGCACGAGAGCCTCGTACCTTCATTCCCAGTTAGCCCCTTCACCCCTCGCCGCCGGGTCCTCTGGACGTCGTACGCTTCTTACATCTTTAGTGTTTAAGCAGCAGTGTTTAAGTCACATGCCTGTGCTGCTGCTGCGGCTGCGGCGGCGGCTGCGGCTGCGGCTGCGGCGGCGGCGGCGGCGGCTGCGGCGGCGGCTGTGGCTGCGGCTGCGGCTGCGGCTGCGGCGGCTGCTGCGGAGTGGCAGCTACTGCTGCGGAGTGGCGGCTACTGCTGCTGCTGTGCTGACATTGTATTAGGCCTCCTAGTACAATAATACCTAAATTAATATCCACATATATAGCAATAGTGCTTTGTTAATGCATGCCATAGCTCCTAGATGTATATCGTCGATCTTCAAGATCCTATTTTTGTCCCCATGTTTGCGACACGTCGGGGGGGCTGATTCAGTACCTGGACTCTTTTGTACAAGGGCCCTAGTGATTGAATCATTTTTATTTAATTTAAAGTTAGCCCATTAGCAGCCGGCCTGGTGGCGGGACTTGTCACCACTAGGAAGGACGGGGGATGGAGGGGAGGATCATCCTGGAGGACCATCATCATCTAATGGTGCACGAAGCGTAGGAAAAAACATCGTCATGTGCAGGAATCAGTGGAAAAATAGTGGAAAAATAGTTATTGCATTAGTTGTAATATGGTGTGCTGGCTGTACTATGGCAATCATTTCGCCGTTCAACGCCCAAAAACGTTTTCACACGTATAAGTCTTTACGGTACGATCTAAGTCTTGCATCACCTAATTTCGCCTGATAATATTTTCGCCTGATAATATACATAAATATACATATGCTGTTAGCCTTGGGACGCAGTTGTTTTGCGCGTGCATTACGAGGTCGTGCTTGGAGGATGCGTGTTCTGCATAGGACTTCTTACGCCTCCTGTAGGGTTCGTTGTGTGCGCGGCCAATTAGGGGGCGTGGCGAGTTGGGCCGTGTAGGAATAGGAACAAATGATTCGGTCAGTGACCAAACGGTTGAGACACACAACCCATGCGTGTACGGTACCTGCCGCCGCCGCCGCGCATGGGCCAATTCTTCGCGGGGCGCACGGGGTATCGCGCGTGTGTGTGTGTGTGTGTGTGTGTGTGTGTGTGTGTGTGTGTGTAAATTATGTTAGCCCTACTTCCACAGCGATGACTCGCGTCAGGAGGCCTACTGCTCACGCCAATACAGCCAGGCTGCATCCCTTCAGCAACCTGGACCGCCTCCAATTGCTGCCGTTGCTGCTGCCGCTATCGCTGCTGCTGCTGCTGCTGCTGTTACTGTTGGTGGCGTGCACGCCAATCAGCCAGTGACATGTGTGCGACTTTTGGGAGCCGAAGGGAGCTCGTCTGTCAGCAGTCAGAGCCCACGTCAGCGCGGCGCCGCCTGCTGCACGGGTCGCAGTAGCAGCGCTCTGCAAAACTGAACCTCTGGAAACGAAAGTTGGCTTCACCAGCCTAACATTTCCAACTGGGGTTGTTGCAAATGTTACCGTGAGCCAGAAAGGATTATCAATGGATGCTAACCAAACATGCCAACCAAAGCGCTACGGGCCCAAAACGCTGCCTGCTGGAGCCCAGAGAGACTCCCCTGCGCCGTGATGACGCTGTGACGACGCAAGGGTTATGAGCAGAGTTGAGCTGTTGGTAAATGTCAGTGAGAAGAAAGGGCCAGTCCGCCGTCGGGAGTTCGGGGGCTGGCGGTTTTGACGTGCATGGCGGCGGGTCATGCGGCGGTGTGATCGAGTTACAGCACTACAGCTTGGTATAGCACAACACTGTACGAACCAGCACGATACCGCACGACCACCGCATGCTTCTGACGAGAGAACCGAATGTCTGCTTACAGCAGCTGGATGATTGGCTGCTGCAAGGTTCACAGATAGCGTGCCTGGGGTACTGGGGAGTCACTCAGCTTTGCCGTACATCGCCAATGCCGTATACCTTACGCCAGCTGAACACCAGGAGACTGTTTGATATCGAATTGATAGTTTCTTTTGGCTGGGCTTGGGCCCATTAGGACAGTAATTGCATCGGGCCCTTGGCAGTAGAAGCAAGTCGGGTTTGAGGCAGCGACAGCTGTCCAGCCCGAAGATACGCCTTTTTCATAATTGGCAGTAAATAATTCACATTCGCGTGTAATCAGCAATTGTTCGGACCTTCAAAATGGCAGACCCTCGGTCTCAGTTGCCGCGCACAACGCGCGTTAAGAATAAACAGCCAGCTGACAAGCAGATTACTGCCGAGCAACTGCTACGCGAAGCAAAAGAAATCCAGCTTGAAGATGACTACAAGGCGCCCAAGCAGATTATCACTGACCCGGAGGAGCTCAGCGAGTACCGCCTGGCAAAGCGGAAGCAGTTTGAGGATCTCGTGCGTCGCGTGGGAAGGTTTAATGGAGGCGTTTGGGTCAAGGTGAGGGCGCCGCATTGCGCTTGTCGGGTTTCCGGGATGGCCCGGATGCGCGACTTTTGTAGCCGGAGGTGGCGAAGGAAAGCATATTCTTGTAAGATAATATCATTGCATCTGACTGGTTCTGGCGTGGGACTAGAGCAGCTGCCCAAACCGTTGACCGACGTTCCGATTCCCACCCCCTCGGCGGCGGTGGCGTGTGCGTGCGGGTACCGCGAGTTCACGCACACGCCTTACCGAGACTGCGTACCATGCGAAAACCCATGGGCCTCAAGCATTCTTCACCTAGACGCTATTGCGCAATTCTCTTTCTTGTTCTCGTCACTGTCCCCTTAGCCCCGCTTCGCACAAATACCCCTTCCCGACGGCTCTCCACCGCCCTCAACCCTCCCCACCTGTTACCCCCTTCATTTCCCACCACCTCACGCCGTCGCCCCGAAACCGGTGGTTCTGGGTCTGCTGCAGTACGCCACGTGGGAGGAGCAGCAAAAGGACTTTCGGCGGGCTCGGTCTGTTTGGGAGCGAGCTCTGGCCATCGAGTACCGCAACGTCAGCGTGTGGCTCAAGGTGCGGCAGGGACTTGGGGTGGGTTGGGGTGGACCCCAGCTGGGAGACCGGGGGCTGTTAGCCGGGCGCAAGGGGGAGAGAGAGGAAGGGGGAGAGCGAGAGGGGATCCGCCAGGAAGGGCCGTCAGCGGAGGGGGAGGGGAGGGGGAGCGAGGTAGATTGGAAAAAGGGGAGAAAGACTTCTGGGAAAGCCGTCAGAGCGTCAGAGCGGGGATGCGAACCGCGAGGTGGTAGGCCCTGAGGGTGAGGGGAGGCTGTTGAGGTGCTTTGTTGACGCCAAGAGATTCGTAACGGGGAAAGAAAAGGGACGGGCAGAGTTACGCGGAGTTACAGGAGCAAATACACGGATGTTGTCGCATCTCACCCGGAGCTGGTGCGGTCTTGGGTGGAATTAAGCTGTTGGTTGTTACTCGACAAAGTGTCGTTCGGATGAAGGCCTGGGGCCGGCGAAGGCGGCCCTGTGCTTGCCGACAGGACTCCTAACTGCGGGGGGGGGGGTAAGGGCCTGCCGGGGTGAGCTGCAGGTGGCCTGAAGTCCTTTCCGTCGTCCTTATCGCCTCTCCCCCACTTGCCTCCGTGTTGCTTGCATATAATTTCCCCTCCCCCTTCCCCCTCTTCCCCGTCTTCTCTTCCCCCTGTTCCCCCTCTTTCCCGTCTGGTACACTCTTGCCCTGGCAGCAGCTTCACTCGCTCGTGGTTCGTCTTCCCCCTCTCCCCCCCTTGCCCTTCACTCGCTCGTGGTTCGTCTTCCCCCCCTTCCCCCCCTGCCCCTTCCCCTGCCCGCCCTCCCCAGTACGCGGAGATGGAGATGCGGCACCGCTTTGTGAACCACGCCCGCAACGTGTGGGACCGAGCCGTGTCGCTGCTCCCCCGCGTGGACCAGCTGTGGTACAAGTACATCCACATGGAGGAGATGCTGGGGAACGTGGCGGGGGCCAGGCAGGTGTACGAGCGCTGGATGCGATTCGAACCCGACCACACGGGTTGGATGGCGTACATCAAGGTGGGTGAGCGAATGAATGAGTGAGTGAGTCAGTGAGTGAGTGATTAAGTGTCTTGTTGTTGTTCCTTCCACCGACGAATAGCACGAGAAGGGTCCTTTGCTTGCAGTGCGAGTGCGGCGGTATGGGTGGGCCTCCAGCATTCTCGCCGATTCTTCTTCCGATAGCTAGCAGCTATGACCTGTCCCAAGGCCGCCCAAGCACACCGCAACCTACTGGGGACGGTTCTGCAGCCTCGCAGCCACCTTGATCTGTTGCTGGCCCCGCTGCCCCCTCCCCCACCGCTGCCCCCTCCCTCACCACTGCCCCTCTCTTCCCAGTTCGAGTTGCGGTACAACGAGGTGGACCGCGGCCGGGCGATCTTTGAGCGTTACGTGCAGATCCTGCCCAGCGTCAAGGTGGGGTACGGCATACAGCGGAGGGGTGGGAAGCGGGAAGGGAGAGGGGGGGGGCAAGAGGGGTCCAGGGTGGGGTGTGCCGCCACCGCCACCGCCTCCCGTCTGTAGCTCACACCCTCCCGAGTAGCGGCGCAGTGCCGGTGCCGGTGCCCTCCGAACCAGATGTGGACTCCGGAGGCCGAACCCCCACATCCTTGGAACGGATTTGGACGGACTGTCTGGTGGCGGGCTCCTCCAAATGTCTGGAGGGGGAGGTCCCCCCCGCCCCCCCGCCCCTTTAGGGCTGCATCTGGTGGGCTTTCCGGCCCCCCCTTTAACCCCGTCTACCTCCCTCCAGGTTTAACCCCGTCTACCTCCCTCCGGCTTCGCACTCTCACCCACCAACGCACTTGCTCGTGCTCGCGCACACAGAGATGGAGATACACGCACAGGCTAGGTACCCACGCGCGCATTAAACCCGCCAATATGTACCCGACCTCGACCAGCCACCCACCCCGCCACCCTTGACGCCCCGCGCACCTGTGGGAACCCCCCGCCCCGCCCTCCCGCCCTCCCGTGGTTCGTCTTTCCCCGCCCTCCCGCCCGTCGGGGTCCGGATTTCAGGCCTGGGTCCGCTACGCCAAGTTCGAGATGCAGAACGGGGAGGTGGCTCTGGCTCGGAGGTGCTATGAAAGGGCGGTGGAGGAGCTGGGGGAGGACGGACAGACGGTAGGTGGTTGCCACCGCTGCCGCTACTGCTGCTGACGGTGACGGTGACGGTGACCTGGCTTGGCGTGCTGCACCCACCCTCCTACCTGGCCACCGTGTACACCCCCCCTTGATGGCCACAGCCCCCGCATCCAATACACTTTGCAACTTTGTTTGTCCGCAGGAGGAGTTTTTCATTAAGTTCGCCGAGTTCGAGGAGAAGGCTCGGGAGGTGGAGCGAGCCCGGTCCATCTACCGCTACGCACTGGACCACATACCCAAGGTGCTCTGCGTGTGTGTCTGTGTGTGTGTGTGTCTGTGTGTGTGTCTGTGTGTGTGTGTGTGTGTGCGCACGCGCATACGGGGGGTATATGCGTGTGCTTGTATGTATGCGTGAGGTGGTGGTGGTGGTGGTGGTGGTGGTAATGGTCTGACCTGCTGGGGGGGATGGAAGGGGTTCATCACCAGGGGGTGAGGAAGTCCGGGGGGTGTATGTATGTATGTTGTTACAGGGTGGTTAACTTCGCCAGTGGCCCCCTTTCCCGAGGCAGTCCCTGCTCTCCCCTGCTAGAGGGGCACCCTAATCCGTCACCCCATCCGACTTCAGAATGTATTCGTTGGGTTCGGCAACTCACCACCAGCATCCAACCAAATCTAGCGGATCAACGACGCATCAACTTAGTTCCTGGTCAGCTCGCAAGTTGATATTATCACGTCCTACACCGTCCATATGATGGGGGGCCACCTCCCATTTCAACACTCCTCAAACACCCGAGGAGCCGGCAGGCGGATTAGAACCCGGGTCGGCCAGGTGCAGAAGTCAGGCCTTAACCTCTGCCAGCCGCCTGCCTGAGTGTATGTATGTATGTATGGGGTCTAGGGCCCCGTGACCTGTGCGGGTGGGGATCTGCGGCTGCCTCCTAGTCCATCAGCCGCCCCGTTGTGCAGCTCCCCCCGCCCCCCCGGAGGATCTCGTCATGTGGTGAGGGTGTGCGCGGCCTCCTGGCTCGTGTGCAGTCCCCGGTTGGCCGCTGTCGACTGCCTGATGGTTGGTGACGATGATGTATTGTCATGACGTGGACATGGACGTGTATGTGGACTTGCCACCGCCGAGGTCGGCCTTGGTGCCCTGTCTCTGGGGTTGTTCCAGTGGGGCGGGGTTGTTCCAGTGGGGGTGGGGGTGGGGCACCCCTACTGCTGACTGCCACTGCTGACTGCCACTGTTTGTGGCGGTGTTCTTCCCCTGCAGGCCTCTGCATCCACCCTGTACTCGCGGTTCGTCGCGTTTGAGAAGCAGCACGGCGACCGGGAGGGCATTGAGCAGGTGGTGGTTAGCAAGCGCAGGTGGGGGTGGGGTGGGGGGGTGTTGGTTGCATTGCAGGGCTGGGGGGGGGAGAGAGAGAAGGTAGTGGCTGACCAGTTGATTGCTTGACTGTCGAGTGGCTCGAGTGGCTCGAGTGGGGTCTAATAGATGCTGGGACGGGAATTGAGGGGGTGAGCGGCAAGCTGTGGGCAGGGGGGGGGGGCCCACGGCCGCGGCACTTAGTTGTTGAAGAGTGATCTTCAACACGCAACACGGCTCGTCATGTATCTCATTACTTGGCTAAATTGCTGCTAAAGTATCGTGAATGTGCGAAAGGAGTCAATGGTACGGCCCGCCGGGGGCGGCCTTTTGGGCGCTTGTCCCCTCTTGCGCACTTTATATTATATGCGGTAGAGAGACGCGAACTGGGTCATCCAGAGGTGAGGTTGTTGTTGCGAGTCAGTGTGGTGTTTTACATTTAAAAACTGGTTTTCCCCTTGTACGGTACTGGCAGGTTCCAGTACGAGGAGGAAATTGCCAAATCGCCGTACAACTACGACACCTGGTTCGACTACATCAAGCTGGAAGAGGGCACGGGTGACGTGGAGCGCACTCGGGAGGTACGGCAGTACGATAGTACGACACGTCACAGCGCGTATAAAAGTGTTGCATGTCGCGCGTTTTGCCTGTCTATAGCCTTCTCCGCAGCTCCGCTCTCCTGTACCTGCAGACTGTACATGCATGCATGCATGTATGTATGTATGTGTGTGCGCATGGGGACGAGGTTCATTCTCGCGGGCCCGGTGCCCCCCGCCATGTGGTCGTGTGTTGGAAGGTGGTGTTCCGAAAGGTGGGGCCCCCGCGACAGCCGTGGCTGATCGGCTCGCCAGGGCCCTTGCGGTGCGTGCATGGGGGCTCTCTGTCTGTTTCCCTCTTTTTCTGTCTGTCCGGCTCTCAGTCTTATGTTCCATAAGGATATCCTCTTATCGCTGATCTCCCCGCCCACCCACCCACGTCCTAACGTGGGGCCCCGCTACCGCGGCCGCCTCCATCGCCTCCCCTCTCCATTTTCTCCCCGCCCACCCACCTACCCGCCCATCCGCCCACCTGGCTGCAGGTGTACGAGCGCGCCGTGGCCCAGCTGCCCCCCTCCTCAGCTGAGAAGCGCTTCTGGCGTCGTTACATCTACTTGTGGATCAAGTACGCGCTGTTCGAGGAGCTGGATGTCGGTGACGTGGATCGAACCCGGGACGTGTACCGGGCGGCGCTGGACCTCATCCCGCACAAACAATTCACATTTGCCAAGGTGAACACACAAAAAAAACGCAGCGGCGCGGGTGTAGACACCCGAGAGAGAGGTGTCGAGGGTCAGAAGTGGAAACACCCACCCCCCCTCCCTCTCGCATGGGACAGCTCCTGCATGACTCACCCGCCGGATGTGTGCCACCGTCTAGCGAACATGTGAGAGGGGTAGGGGGGCATTGCATGGCATGGCATGGGAT